TCGCTTCTAGGAGCAAGGACGCTACTAGGGGCTCCTGGCATCGCTACGAACGGAGCACAGCGTTCTTTTCGGAACAATGAAGGCTGATCCGGCGTACGCCTCGTTTCAGGCCCAATGCGCACGCATATCTAGTGGGTATAGAGAGTCCCAACATGTCCCAACCATGGTACAAGAGATTACAGGAGGGGTCATAGCGGACTACAGTACCCTGAGTGGACCTGCCTTCAGTTGCCCACAAGTTTCTGTTTATATGCTACCAACAGCATCAGCTGCAATCCACCAAAGAATCTTCGCTTCTATCTTCGCTTCCACCAAGACAGCAGTTTTTCGACGTCGCTCCTCAGGGCCAGTGATGCGCCCCGTCCCAAACTCGATCTGCAGAAGTCCACCTCAGCGCCGCTGTCGTTCGAGCGACTCGAACGGACGGACGAACGGGTCGGTGGCGGAGGTGCATTCTCTCTGCCTATGCCAAATGATATATCGTCTTTTGTACAACTTTATACAACCAATATATAACCATAATTCGTGCATAATCCCGGATCGAACATCTTGCTGGCAAAGCTGATCCCACCTACACTCCCATGCAGTTACTAGTCCCAACAGTGGAACATGAGCGGACGCCACCAAGGGAAGTCCAAGAGCAACTTCCACTAGGCATCCCCGGCTTTTGGCGGCCGGCGAATATGTCCGCGAGTTCCTGCCGGGCAGGGCGTCGGACACAGAAATGCGAGAAGAAGCCATGGTTTGGTTGCTGTTGTTTGAATATGGTTGTCCTCATACTATTATAAGATATTGCTGTATTATGCTGTATTATGATGTTATATGGTACAATATGCTGCATGTCTATAGATGTTCAATAAGGGGAAGGGACTTGTCTGGATGAGATGTCTTGCCAGGAGTCCATCGGTGACCTCCCGGGCATCACATCACAAATCATCGACCGCTGTGAAGTGTGGTTGAGACACACTTTTAGAACAGGCATTATCTCTTAATAATGCATGCAACCAGGTGAGCGGCCTCCTCTTTTGAGAAGTGTCTGCGCACGGAAACATGTTTGAGGCAAACATGGACCTATTCTGGACTGACTTGAGGATCTTTAGTGGAATCCGCCGTTTTCAGTAAATACATTATTAACATATATTAGAACATCATCGCTCAAAATCGGACATCAACTACCCCGACCCCCACTGGCAAAAGCCGGCATCCGCAGGCATCCAAGGGGCGCCAAGCACACGCGGCTGTTACGACCCCGAGACCCTCCCGGGAGGCCGGACGAGCGGTTGTAACGGTTGCGGCTGGAGGAAGCACAGGGGCCCTCTTGACCTCAGCACCGGCACCGTACGCAGGTAGCACAGTACGCAGGGAAATGTAGTAGACAAACGGGACGTGTGGATCTGGAGACGGGATGGAGCAGTAATCTGACAGGTAATGAAGATCGAGAGGTTTAATTATGTATTAATTGACATGATTGATCCCTGACTGAAGTTGAAGACATACCCTTGCTGAGCCTGATTTGCTTCCAAAAGTCGGAATCAAATGTGATGCCTTTGGGCCTTGAAAGAGGAATTGGTTAGACCTAAACCTAAATAAGTGTAAGATCGTAAGACCCAAAAAACCAGCATCGGAGGGGTGTCTTCGTCTTCTGTCCAAACACCTCACCCACTCTTCCCCATGCCCGACACGAGTGACTGGCCACTTGAGCCCGCCACAAAGAACGGAGGAGACCCAAATGTTGGTACTGCCTACATGCGCGGGCCGTCAGCCGAGGCAGGTGTTTGACGATCAAAGAGCGCCATGTCAGCACTTAGCGCCCTTCAAGTTCAGGTGGGAACAACCAGGATGTTCTAGAAGTCCAGCAACTCCTATAGGATATGGGGCAAAACAATAGTAATCAGTCATTCTGATGAATCCAACGGGGTGGATGCACGCCCGCGCCGAAGCATCAGCCCCCTTTTGATTGACTGGTGAGGATCATCCAAGCAGAAGCATCCGAACCCAAATCTTTTCTTTGGAAAACACATCACACACACAATGATGAATCATAAGCGCTTCTAAAACCCCACTGGCTTAAACTTGTGGAAGATCCTCAAAGCCCGCCCCCCGTCAGCTCACGGTCCTTCAACAAGACCCGACTTTCATGTGTCTAAGTCGGTCACCTCAACAAGGCGCGTGTGCCGCGCGCGCGCGCACGCGCCGACGCGTGCGCGCGTGGTCGGTGCCTGTGTCGAAAACCACCCACACCAAGGACTCATCTTTGACCTTGGTGATCACAAAGGGCCACAAGGACTCATCCCTAATCGATGAGTCCATCGGAGTCCATTAAAAGATCCAGGCGATGTGACCCCAATGTCTCTGAAGCATTGCTGAAGATTTGAGGCGAATCTGGAGGAGCATCTTGCTGGAATAAACGCCCCCCTTTGCTGTAGATGTTTGCAAGGTCTTTTGATCCAGCTCCCCTTCACCATCACTGCTCACTTTCCGATATTCAACCGAACCCAGGTGTTTGGCTGACTACAACTTCAAGCGGCTTGGAACCGACTCTAGCTCCGAGCAATCACCACACCACCAACTTTTGAAGCAAGCTGAAGCAGCCCATATCTAATAAACTGATTGGCCTTAGTATCAGCAATGACCCCACAGCTGCAATTCCATAGGTCAGACTCTGAACACTGCATAGGTGGTTTGTCTGAGAAAGGGGCATGGCAGGCCTTCTTCTGCTCCTGTCTTGGCAGTTCTCCGCGAGCTTTCCAAGTCTGCTGGAGATTTGGGAGAAACAAATAACTGATCAAATCTGTCCAAGCAAGATGTCCGGAGACATTCTGAGGCATGGGGTTCACCTCTTGCCGTGGAGACGACGGACCCCAGCAAAAGTTCAAGACTTGTGGGCTACTTGGTTCGTCTCAAGTACTTGTGGCCGCAAAAGGGAACGAAGCTCAACAGCACTGGGCTTCCTCGAAGACATGCCTCGGTCGACTTAAAAGGACCAACTCGGGAGCTGCAGAGGTGGACTCGTTCAGCGCCACGAGGAGAGCGGTAAATAGACAAAGCAATCAAGGAAGAACAACGGGACACACGGTTCATGTGGAACATGAACGATTGGGTCAAAGCATCTCCAAAGCATATGCGGAAAAACACATCCGATGGAAACAAACCATGGTGGTCTCCAATTGATCCATGTGAAGTCATGAAAAAACGCGCCAGACTGCTGTCAGGGCAAACACGCCGGTAGTCACTGTCAAGTCACGTCTTGCGGTCCTCGCTGGCAGCCTGATAGTCCGCTGGCCCCAAGTAGATTAAAGACCTCAAGTCCGAGGGACCCGATAGACCGCTTGGGCAGCTGTGATTGACCATGTATTTTCTTGTGTTGTGTTTTTGTTAAATCTGCCTCCAACAAGCCTGGCCAATACTCTCTAATTCCCGGAAGATAGTCAAAGCCGTCAAAATCCAAATACATACCCCAAACCGCAGCATGGAATTCACAAAACTCAACAATGTCCACATGCAAAGGTCGCCTAAAGATTGTTCCTAAGATATTGTCTTGGACTCCCAAGGTATGCGTCACTGTCGTTGCCTGCACGGTGGACAATTGTTTCGCACGTGCAGGTCCCGTACTCGCTGGGCTGGCAGCCGCGAGGTGAGAGGACCGAACCTCGCGACATGGGATAATTGCAAACCACAGCAGTTGATATACGAGAGAATGTTGCAAGCATTCAAAATAAACACAAATGGATAATGATGAAGAATGATCTTGCACCAAAAAGTTTGTGCTCATGTTTCTCGAGGAAGGGGAGGTACCATTGTCAAACTAGCAGATCAACTAGGACCAGGATCCTAGTTGGGACATGTGATCTGGGGGCCCCCGTCGAGCAATGAAATCGCGTGACCACTCACCAGGCGGTGACTGTGATGGTCCAATGTTGGGAGAACAACAAAGCACTCTCTAGAAGTACATGCACCAATGTAAACAAGAAACTAATGTACAGTAAATCACTTGGAGATCACATAAACTAACATTCCTCCACCAACCCGTTCTCGCTGTTGATCATTCTCGTTCATGCAGCAAACTCTGTGCATGGATGAAGGGTATTGAGATAGAAGGAGGGGACATCGTTTTTTAGGTCCTGGACGCAATGAACGTCTTCCCTTTGTGTTGTCCATCGAACTCAAGGTCCACTGAACCCAGTGCGGCTGGGAAAACCCACTCCCAGCAGTCTTGCCCACGTGGCCCAACACACTCTGTGGCCACGGGCCAACTCCAATTTGACCAATGTACCTGGAGTTTCGCCCAAATTCAGTCAAGAGATTCACAGAACAACATGTTTTCGTTTGGTTTGTGGTTAGATGTAAAACAATGAATTTCTTCGATGCGTTGGCTGAAACATGCTGAAACCAAAAACCATGGACAGTCGGCGGCGGGTGAGTGCTCTGGAAGTCCCAGAGTCTTGGTTTGGGGAGGTCGGCGTATAGACAGAGCAGCTTCAATTGCCTCTGCGGTTCATTCCTATCTGCGTTTCACTTGCGACTGGATTGTTGCGACTCTTTCAGCCTGTTGTGACTCTGTCAGCCTTCCAAATGGAGGCAGTGCGACATTATTATACATTACTCATTACATAGGCCTGCACTCGTTGAATACCTTGGCACTTCTTTGAATTGTGAACGGCCATGGCGGAGAAAGAACACCGAACTGTGGGGCCTTGGTTGAACGGTGGAACTGGGCGTGCTTACTCGACAACGCAAGGCCAAAGCATACAATCAAAGACCCCCTGAGAAAACATGAATCTGGACGTTGAACTTGCAAGCGCATGACATTGGCACTGTCAATCTCCTGCTTGATTGGTTCATGGGTTATAAATGTCACTAATTTTGCGGGTTGGTCGGCCGGACACTCAATCAATTATGATTCAACTATGTGCCTGAGCGTAGAGCAAATTAAATGCTGGTGTCAGTGGAAGCAAATCGGCGTGGTCGCACTCGACCTATTTGCTTGGTGTCAAAAATGTTGTCGTATGGTATGCAAAACACATGCAACAATGATTAACATGCACTATTGTTGTTTATTGGGTATGATGGTGTTGTTGTCCTGTGAACGGAATAAACATGTTGAAATGAAAACCTGTACCTCACGAGGCTAAAACATATCGGCAAGCCCTTAGCATTTATGCTGCTTAGTTAACATATGTTAACATAATGTCTGGCTGGCTGTTCAAGAGCGCACAAAATTGATCAACATGTGTTAAACTTATGTGTATTCTGGTCTTCTTGTCCGCTTTGAGAACACAAAATGGTTGTTAGGTCAAAACCTGCTGGCTAGTCCATGAAATTGGCACTGCTTGTTCATACTCTGCTTTGCTTGGTTTAATGGCTGCATGACTGCAGCATACAATAAATGAATGTTTGTGTCATGTGAAACAAAATTGTGCAGTCGCACTAGGCCATGCTAAGTGGGCTGCCAGCATAAAAAGACATGTCTTCTGTTTCAGCTTCCTTAGTGTGGAAACTGTCGGCGTATGTCCTGATCAGAAAATATCAGAAACACACTGCCCCTCCAGCGTAGACCCAAAGCAGGAACAAGAAGCCGCAGAAGAACATCGGCAATTCAACCAGCGCCCAACGCCGAGTCAATCAACCCCGAAGGCCCTGAGCCTAAGCCCAACCTGTTCACCTCACCCAAAGCTTGGTTAATTAAGCCATTGACTCAAAAACAGCAGTGCATCCATGTTCGGCACTGAAAAGCCTCTGACCTCTAAGCCTTGGAGTGCTTCTCAAAACTTCACACCTCAGAAACGCCCGCGATGTGCCCCACGCACCCCAGGTCACTGGCTTTCCAAGCTCGTGAGCCGGGTTTCTGCCGGGTGCGTCTCATCGGGCACCGTGAGTGAGTGATACCTCGGACTCGCAGGACGCAATGCTACTCGCTTGGAGGTACCCTATCAACCCAAAGGAGGAACATAAGGAACTAAAGAGAAACCAAACACGACTTCCACACTTCCAATCATTGAAGAATCGTATCTTCCACGTCATCCAAGCATCTGGGAGAAGCATTTGGGTCAAATCCATTCAAACATCTTCAAATTGAAGATTAACACATTCCTCGCTGCATCGCCCGTCACGTCACCGTCACGTTCGTCACCGTCCGCCTGAGCAAAGCATCACTGCTCCTTGTGCCGCGACAGTCGTCGGATGCTGCGCAAACTACATGTGGAGGCCTACTAGAGGGATGTGCTGAAAACAACAACAACTGCATGTCGTTTGCCAGATCAAAGGCCTGTGAGGGATATGCAACTGGAGACATCGGAGGAAACATCGAGTTTACTACACCCAAACGATGGGTCCGTGTGAGATGTTCAGCAAGTGACATTTTCCTTTTGAACATGAAGTCAACAATTGAGGAGGCAGGAGGAATCCTCAGGAGGAATCAATATATAGTTCTAGTTCTAGTGGTTGCAACTGTGTAATTACTACTGAGCCATTTGTTCTAAAGTAGCACATTTGTGGAGGTTATTCATGAGATATCCAGAGCACAGTACCTATGAAATATGATTTGCAGTAAATACATGACCACGTTTCTCTTGATTAAAGTCCCTCTTCGATCTACATATGCCTAAAAACATTCAAAAACTCGACCTTTTCTTCGTCGCTTTAAACCAACAAAAACCGCTCCTGAACCTGCCAGCAGTGGCAGACACGGAGCTGTTGAACGTCACCTGGGCTCCGAGCAGAGCGCAGCAGCGAAAGGGCAGGGCTGCGCTGCGACGTCTCATGCACGGCACCCGACTCAACCAGTTTGACGCGTCGTTGAATGCATCGTTTTTCATGGGCTTGATGGCGTGCTTCCTGGTGCCAAACGCACCAAAACCGGTGCTATTTTTCAGTTCTCATTGAGCTTCCTTGACCAGTGGGAAAAACGAGAATGAACAGAGTCAACACAGGACAACCCCCAAGCCACTCGCAGGGCAAAGGAAGCCCTCCAAATCCATGAAAAATGACCGTGACACGGTGAAGGCCCAGGCAATCCGTGATCTTCGACAAGCGCACAAACCAACACAAACCCAAACAATCAAAAAACCGATCAAGTGCAGCATCCCAGCTGAAACTCAGGGTTGCAAACCAGATGCCGTTGAAAGAATGCAAGTGAAGCAAAACTAGCACAAATTTGCATGCAGCACTAGCACGTGATGACCCATTCATGTACTGAACTTGGACCACCATTAAGCGCTGAAGGGAAGCCTATTGTCAGGGTCGTGAACACTCTTGAAACTAGTTAATGAAGCCCTCTTGATTTCCCCAGGACACAAAAAGAACACTCTGAGCACGGTTGCCACGTTCTCAGTACAGCGAACTCAACGACCAGAATCAGGGATGAGCAGCCTTTGTAAAAAATACATGAAAACAATTTTCACCCATGATGTTGAAATGTTGAGCGTGTAGACCTTGGACACCTTCCACCGAGATCAAGACCTCCAAGAAGGCCGCCTGATGAGCTTTCAGCGCTGCCTCCTGGTGAAAAAGACCCAGAACTGCCAAAGCTGTGAGGAGCGGAGCCACTGAGATCAAGTTTTCCCCAAAGAGATCTAAAGATTCCTTGAGAGATAGAAGATCCAACCCATGAGTGCACAAGGCAGATTTGTTCTCTCCATCTACATGACATCATGTGTCATATATAGTGTATATATATATATACATACATATTATATGTCAATATGTCTTTCTTCAGGCTGTGGGGATTGAATTCGATGTCCATTAAACACTTTTAGGAGCTCTGTTTCGTTGGATTTCGTTGGAGCCTAAACATCCACAAAGGGCTCATTGGCAACAAACACACCACGTGAAGTTTGATGACAATCCATTCTAAATCCCCTGAAACCAAACCACACCCTTGTCGACTGTGACTCATGGGTCGCATGGACAAAAATAGACTCCAAATGAAGACTCCAAATGTACGTCACTTTGTCCACTTTGTGTCTCTGATGGTGCGTCACTTTGACTCTAGCTGAAACCTTGCCTTCATTCCAAAAAGAAGAAAGGAGCGTCATGAAGGCCGCGTCACAAACGCTGGACTTCTCCTTCTGGCCTTCATACAGGCAAAAAACTATGTCATCACTTTGTTTGAGGTGTTGTTACCCTGCCTTGGGGGGAAGGCTCTGCAGAAAGCAATCCCTTTTTCCTCAACAGCGTTGAAACAGCATTGCCATGGCCCATGGCGATTTTGGCATTGAAATAATTAGCTGTACTAGGAGCTGACTATAGGGAGATGACTTTGTCAGGTTGCATCGTCCAACGTTCTCCGTTCTTCTCCGGTCCATCCTCTCCGGTCGTCCGTCCGTCCCAACCCTCCTGAAGCTTCGAGACTCGCACGAAGCCCTCCGGTGGGACCGACCGGTGTCCCGAACGGAATGACTGTTGCGTTGAGTCACTTGAGGAATGACTCATGACATGAAGTGCTAAAGTGGGATTTAAAAAAAACATCTGTAATTCATGTACAGGCTTTGGACCGATCGGCAGGTTTGAACTTTGGATGAAACGACGATTGGCCTGGGTAGACTCCTGTTTTTGGTGTTTGAAAACAAAAGGAATTAGTGCCAGTCAAAAACCACCAAACTCGTATCTGGGGACCGATTAGACATGTTATTTGAGAGTGCCCGTGTCTTCTCCCTTTTTGGAAGCAACTCTCTTTTGCTGATCCCTGCCTGCGGGCGTCTCTCGAGTTTCTGCCTTGGTCTTGCCCTCGACAAGAGGGTAGAGCCGATCTGGCGACGACATCGGGACACGGCGCTGGGCGGCCAACCTTCTAACAAATAACTGATATGCCGAGATAGTCAAAATCAAACATGGAAGTAGAGCCATTGCATATTATTGCATAATTAATTGATAGTAAGTGATAGATTTTGATACTACGGATATATCTGGATAATCCCTTCCCACTTCCACCTATTAAAAAAACACGCCCCCCCCCCTGAAATCGGGTTTGTCCAAAATAGGATAACTTGGGAAGAACTTCAAAACATACTCAAAGAGCGGCTTCGGGTGTTTTGAGTGGAACAGATATTGATAAAACATCCCCCTTGGAATTACCGGTAGGTCTGGGGAGCGCGATTTTATAGCCATAAATCGCCTGCCCCAACATCCAGCAAGCAATCTCTCCACTATAAAATGAAGACTCGACATGACTCAGTAAATCTCTATAAAATCAAGTCTCAACATCTAAGGCGCCCGAAAGCAGAAGGAAGACGTAAAATATGATCTAGGTTTGAGGTAGTTTTAACTTTATTTTGCCCAGGTCGGAATTGATTTTATAGTGGGTTGTTTGGGTTCAACTGGGCTGAGACGTGAATTTATAGGGATTTGGTTTGCAAAATCTGACAGCATCAGCGATGAGCAGGTCTTTTCCCCTGTGCGTTCTTCTGATTGCTCTGATGTCCAAAGCAATCCGCTTGATTGTCGTCAAAAAACCAACATATTCTGCACGCAACTGACTTCCAACATCTGCCACAATAAAATGAAGTCTCAGCTTTCTTGTCCACAACTCTCTTCATATAAGATCAAGAACCAACTTCTAATCATTGTAAGGCTTGGTCTGCTATACAATCGGGGCTCATACCACCTCACTCCTATAAAATCTAATGTCAAAACATCCAGACCTCTATCTATGTGCGGCCCACATGATTCTGGCCACAAGCTACCAGGTCGACACATCATTTTATAGCAAACCCTCCCTATAAAATGACATGGGGTTTTGGTACTCGAGCACGTCCACTTTATAGGTTTTATTCCATCGGGGATGATAAAACCATAAATCAATGTCTTGGTAGGTGTCAAACTGCAAATCATTTTAGTACCTTTACGATCCTTTAAGCAGCCGCCTGGAATTTCCAAGGAATAGTCCCGAGTACCTGATTAAAACCTACACAAGTTTAAAGAGAGTAATGTCGGAACCCCTCAATACGTGTTTTTCAACATTACTGCCCTTTAAAGCCGCTACTAAACTACCAACATGGCCGATTTTGGTTGATATTGTTTATTAGGTTCCAAAAGCAGCCGTAACTGCCCACCTCTGTCCACCCTGTCTATTCTATCCACCATGACACGCTGCGTTTACACCAGCTAGCTTTCCTTCCCCCAATGGCACGGACTCACAAAAACGCACTTGCCACCGAGGTCACGCAAAACCGCATGGCACAGCGACATCACCTTTCGAAAGCTTTTTTTAGTCTAATGAAGAATCATTATTCTAATGGGTTTTTGTAGGGGAAAAGGAAGGCCCTTCGATCTGGAGATTGTATTGAATTTTTGATACGAGTTTAATATAGGATATATATTGATCCTATATTATTTAAAACTTTCCTGGATGACTTTTCGGTTAAAGAATAGTCAACCCTGTTGCTAGTGTCTGGCCAGAAAACAACAACAGCAACAACAATACAAAAGCAACATTCCCTCAATACTTCAACCGTATCCCTGACCTTGTCCCCTTAAAGTTCCAGAGTTACAATTACAACATGTGACAATGTTGGGCGGCTGTTTTCGTTTCTACCAACAACAACAAGAACAAGAACAAGGTACAAGCAAAAACTGCAGCCCGTTACAACATATCTTCTTCCTTTGTCTCTACAAGGAGGTGGAAACAACAACTGCAGCCCCGTCGTCATTGTTTTTGGACCCCCCCAAAAAACAACCAGCCAACAAGTACTTTCACCAGTGGTAGTACCACTAGTAGAAGTAGAAGTAGAAGTAGAAGTAGTAGTAACCGGTCAGCTAAACCTCTGTAAACCTTCTACTTAGAGCCTCTACCACATCCTAGAAAAAATGCGGCCCCGTTGTTGTTGTTTTTGATCCCCCCTCAAGAGGTGAAGGCTCTACTCCCTCCTAGAAACAAAGATTGCAGCCCCGTTGTTGTTTTTTGGACCCCCCTCCAGAACAACACCTCAAAACACTAAAAATGAACCAGCCCAAACTTCAGTGAAACAAGCCCAACAAGTCCACCTACTTACGAAACCAACATTCGCTCAAACCTTCAACCATATCCCTCCCTTGAAGTTCCAAAGTTACAACATGTGACAATTATATTGGGCGGCTGTGTTTTTCCACCACCACCACCGCCACCGCCACCGCCACCGCCACCCCCACCACCACCACCGCCACCACCACCACCACCATCACCATCACCATATGGGCTCCGGAATCTGGGAACTGAAAACACCCAACCCACCACACCACCCACCACCACCACCACCGCCGCCACCACCACCACCACCAACAACAACAACAACCACACTCCCGTACCTCCTCATGGGCGCTCCACCGAGCTTCAGCCTTCGGATTGTGGGGGGAGTCTCGAGGCAGTCTCATGACCGATAGTGCAATGGACCTGAGGAAGATTGTTGTATTTCCTGGTGAAATGTGTAAGACTCATGATGCCTCTTTCACGGTCTAAGCATCTGATCCAACATCTGCAGGGATCAAATAGCCCTTAAAGGCCTTTAAAAACCTTACTATTGATTCATAAGCTTGGAAGTTGTGGGTTCTGGTGGTGTGTCGACGGATCCCTTCAACACATCGGGTGCAGCTTCGTCCATGATCATGGATGACTGCATGGATGTCTGACCATTCTGACCCGTGCTTTGACTTTACATCTTGGAGATTGAGACAGATTGAGTCTTGGGGAGTTCGGTCTTAAAATGATCTCCTCATTGAATCTCTAGTTCCATGTCATTCCAGGTCCCACTCACACAAAGCATTTTTCCGCTCACCGTTAGTGCCCTCTCAGCCCACGCCACCTCCAAAAAAGAGGCCATGCCCTCGTGCTCGTATCTGTGCAGCCTGCCATGCTGTGGCTAACGTCCGACGGTTCGCTGGGACTGGGGGCCCAGGTGCCAGGAGGTCTGAGGTCCTGTCGGAGACCTGCGCGGATCGACTGGGACCTTCCAGACCAGCCCGGAAGCGATGCGAAAAGCATGTCTGTCCGAAGGAGAAATGCAGGTATCTATACATAGTGTAGCCATGGTGAGCCTGTTAGCTGTACCAACCATCCTCTTACTATATTAGATTATATTAGTACTTTTTCAAATGGTCTGAGTTTTGTAGGGCCTCAACGCCATCTGTGATGTTCTCCAACAATCATCCACGTCTGTGGTCTTCATGAGCAATCTGAACATCTTTCAACTCGTCATCTGTCGTCCTTAGATGATCTTCGAATTCAATGTCTGAATAAAAACCGAAAACCCCTTACAACCACGACCACCGGCACCCACGTCCACTGACCACGGCACGAGGACCGCTCCACCTAGTCACGTGGACCGCTTCATAACCCGAGTGGAAGAGCTCCTCCGCCTGGGCGATGTTCATTCCGCCCTCAAGAATCCGCATAATGATAGCGGAGGTGAAAGTGAATTTCATACGGTTCCTTTCTTTTGCTTTCTATTCAATGTGGTTCACCTTGGTTGGGCCACAGTCGACTTAGAGAGCCAGCCAGAACATGACGGGAGTAGCGAATCAGTCCAATGCCATGTCTTTCAAAGATAAAAAAGAAAGTAGCACACTCAAGGGGTCATCCAAGAGCTCCTTCAAATAGATCCCTAGGCCAACACCGGTGATCTACCCGGAGTTCAAGATTCTGACGGACATCTTGTCGCGGACTTTGTTCGACAAACGTCAACACCTTGCACCAGTCTTGAGCTCAAGGTAAAAGGCTAATCGAAGGCCTCTGCTTCCAATTACAGCCCTTTGGAGGTGAATGACTCTTGCTGCCACAAGTCTAACAGAGTCCCCCACAAAACGGGTGTGCTGGTGGGGTGAAAAACTGCACCACCCTTGGGGTTCAAGAATCCAGTCCTTGGAGGCAACTTGAAGGGTCTTGGTAACCCCTGCCCCATCCAGCCCCAAGAAACACAAATTGGGCCTTGGGCATGTTGTTTTGCTTGCCAATCGTTGTCAAACAAAAAAGGGGAGCCACAGAGACTGAAAACAGCAAAAAAAACACACTATAAACTAAGACGGCAATTTTCCACAAAACAACACCTCTTTGGATACGGATAGCTGGGTGAAGGTAATTGAACATATAATAATTACATATAATTATTGTATGTTAAAACGTAATAAACAAATACACATATACCGTTTGCATCTGCTTAGCCCAACAAAGACCTCCCGGGCCGGAGTTCGTTCTCTCTTGACGCCGAGCTGCCGGTGACTCGCGGCCCGCTTCGATGTTCCCAATCAACGCGACGAGGATCAGAGACACGCAGCATCCCTGGCGCTGCCACGCATTCGAGCACTGCGGAGCCATGGAGAGACGAGGGCGGCATATAGGCTTAGAGGCAGAAGAGGCACCGGGCAAGCAGAAACCAGGGTAAAAAACATAAACTTATTCTTATTGGACTAGGGCTAGGGGTATGATGGCTCTGATTCCCACGAGAACATGCAGCAGCATGCATGTCTCTGCAACCGGATCCATCAACATACTCAAAAGCAAGGACTGGCGTTTGAGAGTGGCAGCACTGACATGCACAACCCTGCTTCATCCCGGCTTCATCAACAGACCCTGCTGTCTGTTGACAAGGGGTGTTCTCGTGTTCTCACCTGGGTCACCTGAACCATACAGGCAAACATCCAATCCCAGGTGTTCGCCGCCGCCCATAGGTGTTCTCCATTGGTTTCCATATGACGCCGACCCAGGACGGGCCTGCCATGGAAAACCTCGCGGTCACAGCTGTCAGTTGGCGGGGCTTGGGGATGTATTTGATGCACAAGATCCCTACATTCTACACAAATGAGCGTGGAGGGCAACATAGGGCAACTACTAATTACCATACCAACGCCACCTAAGTAACTTGAGGACTTGTATTAAACATGGGGACCAACTGAAAAGTTGTACTAGTACCACATAGATAAACAATGATAAACATATATGGTATGCACTGCTCTTCAAGATGCACTGGATTGGCAAAGTGCCCCGACTGCCTCATGGGGGATTGGATGATGCACCATGTATTTCAGCCCCCATAAGTTTCTCATGTCTTAAAACGAGTTCCAACATATCCACCTAGCAAGAGGATGTGGCCCTGCGCAAGCAACGCTCTCACGAGATACCTTGGATCAACAATTGGAGTGTGCACTCTTCTATAAAGGCTCGTGTAGTATGTTGGATCATGTTCAATAACTTTGGTCACCACCACCCACCTACCTACCCAAGACCAAGTCTTTGAGAGACCAAGTTCTATTGGGTCACCGGCAGCTCCCGACAGCTCCCGGGCCCCGAGCTAGATCTCACAGTCATACGTGGAAACCTCTCGTCACCTCCGCCCGCCGCGGCGGTCCGCGGAGCTTTCAAGCCAAACAGCGGCGGTCCGGCGAATGACGGCGTCCCCGGCGTCTCCGCCGGTGTCTCCGAGGGCGGGCCGGGCCTGGAAAGACCAGCCCAAACAAGTCTCCAGCAAAATCACTTGGCCACATGCCACAATGACTTGGCCCAGTACGAGACAATGCAAATAGCTGGTGAAACGCCGGGTTTCTCCCTCCACATATCTCGGGTATTTCTGGAGGGTGAGGGATGGTGAGCGTACGTTCTTCGTATATCATCATGGGTGTGAGGCTCTGAAGTCTCACTAGTGCAAAACTCCCATCCTGATCACACTCAATCTTGCATCTATTCATACATATGTATATATATATATATGTGAACTACTTACTTACATTGCTTCGGGATGCCCTGGCAGAATCCGCATGCGTCAATAAGGAAGGGAACCACATTTGACATAATTAGATTCACCTGTATAGTGTCATTTGAACGTGAACACATTGCAATGTTGAACTTCTAAACTTGCGGGGGCCTGAATGGAACACAGTTAATGGATGTATGTCTCGAATGAGTCTGTTCTGCCTTTCTCACCGCAGGATTTTTCATGAACCATCATGAACCTGTTTCCAAGAGGTGAGGAATCCTTATGTCTTTTACACCGTCAAAACAGGAAAAGTCTGGACAATTCAGCCGGACACATGACTCAGCCGGGGCTCCCTTTGAGCAGTCAGTAAAGGCTACTAAGTACAGTCAAAAGAATTCGTTGGACCTTGGGAACCGGACCCAGGACCCTCCCTGCAGTCCATTGGAGGCATCTCATCCTTCAAAGCTTCGTTCAAAGCGTCCAAACTGAGCGTGGCACCGGCGGTGGCACCGCCGGCACCGCGGTTGGAACGCGGTCGCACCAGTCTGGTCGTTTTCAGAGCACTCCAAGCACCCGAGAAATTGTCACACAGAAACCATATATAACTCTCCAGAAACGCTTCTGGAAGTCTCACATAAGAACTCGGACACAAACCTCCTTGGCAAAAGGAACATCTCTCCCTTTCAGTTCCAAGTCCAGTTCCCCGGTCACCTCCTGAAAGGGCAATGTGTGAAAATTCATGACGGTTGCTCTCCCCTCACTAACATGGACGTGGAAAAAAACAAAAGACTCTAATGACTAATGACTTCTTTCACAAGGCAAAATGGCCCTGGCCGAACCCATCCAATTCCCATCTGATTCAGTTGTTGATTGAATTACTTACGCACTTTTACCAGACGTTCTGAGCATTCTGGGCTCTTTGAGCCGGGTCACCGACCATGGTTCCACCCGCTGCAAACACCGATGTCGACCGATGCGGTCGATGTCGACCGACGCAGCGGTCTTTCGAAACACCTGGACTGTGAGGTTGTCATGGCCATTCCGAGTAAGCAACACACACACACCAAGAACTGCCAAGAACACTCAGACTAAACTAAACAAACATGCAAGATATCGGCCTGAATGAAACATGAGTTGTGATGAGTTGTGTAGTATTTTGGTCAGGTACATTCCAAAGATCCACCTAAAAACAATCGAAGGCGCCCAAACACCTCTGAGCCGCCCTGGCTCTTTGATGTCATCGTCGGGCGCTCCCATGTCATGTGGACCGGCTGCCATCATCAGCTCATCCTTTCGACCAGAAATTGGCTCATAGGCTATCATAGGCTCATGGCTGTTGTCAACAATCCAGTTTGACGGTGCCTTGAACACACAACCCCATGACCCCATGCAATCTGTTTCTTTTCAGCACGCCTGAAAAAGTGCCTTGGTGCTTTAAACAAACACATGTCTTGGTCTCTATCGAAGCATGCAGCTCACGTGCGCCCAAGCACCACCTGTCACTTGAAGACGGAAACGTGCCTTCTGGGAGTCACCCGATGCGGCCCATTTCATCCGCTCGGAGCCAACGGTCTACACCCAACGGTCGAAGTACTCCTGGACTCCTCCCTAGTGCGAGCGAGTAGGCTCGGCTCGATGCCCGGCCCCAACCAACGGCCGCGGAAGGTCAAGGAACCGCCACTTTCGAGAGGTTCGCACCACGAACGCCCAACAAGGACCGAACTCATCACGGACCGGCTCAGTGGTCCTCGGAGGATTTGGGATGATCTTCTTGCACTTCGTGCCTGAGGGAAGAAACAGGATCGAGAAAAACCATGTGATTGGAAACCATCCCAAACATGCCATCAAACGGCAAAAAACAATAAATTGGAATATAATGTGTATTGGGTATATCCTATTACCAGTAACAATGGATGATGATGTTTTGATATGTTTTGTAAAGGCCTCTCTCTAGAATAGTGATACTTGTTTACCGACTGTTACAGGTATTGGGACCAACTCAAGGTATCTCAAGGTGTTCATTTCAAAACCGGGTAACCCCTGGCCCTGGCTGGGTAGACTGGTCTATTTCCCTTCTGAAAAGGGGATCATTGCCTGGGAGGTCTCCGTATTTGAATGCACGCCATATGCCGTCCCATTGACTCCCGAAATCAACCAGCCCACCTGATCGGGAGTCATATGCCAGTCCCATGGAGGAGTGTGGGATGGTGCAGCCCCGTCATACCCAACATGAGTATTTCTGCCTCATACTTTCCCGGAGCCGTGATGATCTTGCCTGAGATCTTGACAAGGATCAGCGGGGGTCAACATGCATCCTTTCAAAAACCGCCCCCATCATCTGCCCCAATTGGATCCATGTGGTAAATTTTAAATGATATAGTTTCACCAAGCTCATATACTGTAGTTTCACCAAGCTCTTCAGCAGTACGTTTGGATCCTGCGCGTCTTCTGGGTACTTACCAACTGCATCCAAATGCGCTTCTTCATCTCAACTGGACTGCCGCCCAGCTGCCAGTTGCCGGTCTCATCCTGGCGCCAAAGCTGCGTTTCGCCACCTGGAGAGGGGCCGTTTTCAGGCTGCAAAAGGTGGATTGCGCAAAGCCAATAAGTCGTGAGTGAATTGTAAGTGTGATATTTTGGTGGTTTAGACATGTTCGCGAAATCAAACAATAACTTAAAAAAAAAAACATATTACACATAACGCCCCATACAATCCTTCAAAGGCTTTATGGAGGGCAGAATTGTATTGCTGATCGAATTCTCAGGGTCGTTCTACACAGCTTGGTTATCCATAAAGCATTTGATGGGTTTAGCTCCTTTTCGAGCTGCTAAGCAACTCCGAAAATCGAGGGGCCAGAACTCAGGGCCAGAACTCGGATGATCTACGGTGAGCTCTGTTCCCCTTTTCTTCTTTGCTCTTGGGAGTACCTGGCAATATATTAATGGATTGCATGGAACCATGATGAACCATGTCATGTTCTGTTGGTCTCATGGTTGAGCCCCGAGGGAATTTTGACCAATTGGCTCCTCATGTGGGCATACCAAATGTCTCAACAGTCATGAATCAGGGGCAAGTGCTCTTCTATCTGTGTTTGGGTGGTACTCTTCTGGTTGAGCCAATTTCCCGCTTCAAGAAATCCCCATTACACATGTTGGAGCGTTTGGGATTGGACCGCACAAACCCAGCTGTCCATCCTTGAACCAAGCCTTTGTGCCACTGATGATGTTCATCTCGAAACCAGTACTCAGCAGGACCTCTCACAAGCGTGGGACTGCGTCTGGTACCAAGCAAAGCACAATATTGTGCTACGCAATCCAAATTGTGGTCATGGTTTCGGCACACAGAACTAGGGTAGATCGAACATCATGCAGAAAAATGGGACAAACTAGCATTTCAACCTGGCAAAAGAACATCTGACTGTGGGTCAAAACCATTTCAGCCCTGGTCCATTTGCCGCAACCGGTCGGTCGGTCATGCCCGGTCGGGAGTCTCCCGGTGCCCCACAGCCATCTCTCTGCGTCTGACCGAAAGCACCAAAGCGAAGCTTGTAAACTGATGGATCCAAATGTGGAACAGTGTTTTCACCGCCCAGTGCAACATGTTACAGCAAACTTACCGTTCAACAAGAAAAACAACACGTATTAATGAATGATATTGATATGATTTAACATGATGGTCTACTGGTTTACTAAACTTCACAACCTAAGGCTTTTGTATGGTTCCGTGATGTTTTTGTACCACCTTTGTTTAGGTCGGTCCTTAGGTCGGTATACATATGTTTGGTCTTGTATTGATTCATGTCAACCCTGTCTGAAGGCTTCCTCTGGTCCGGGTCGCTCACATGGACGCAGCTATACTCAGCCACACTCCAACGCATGGAAGTGGAAAACCAGGAAGGAACACATGTTTCGGTATTCGGAACGTTGTCTTCCAAGGGTTTTTTATATCATCCACTTCCATGTGATGTGTTCCTCAGAGTATATGATACCTCACCACCTCGCGTCCCAAGCACCTCACAACCGCTCAGCCTCCGAAGTGCCAATGACCGGCTTCATCTTGCCACCACTCGCCTGGTGCCCCGATACCCACGGCCACCGGACAGAGGACCGAGTCTGGTGCTCTGTGGTCCTCCCCCAAGATCTGGGCAAACAATGTCCAAACCCATGATGTCCGTTGGGGTAAGAACCTTATCCCTATGACCTATATGGGTTGTTCACTGGGGGTATCCGGTCCCCTCTATTAATCAACCAAGAGTAAAGGGACCTCCATGGTCGAAACTGCGTAGGCCTACGTTGACCCCTTTTCAACCACCCCAATCTATACATCAATGTACATTATATATATATTATAGAATTGTACATGAATATGCCACACATGGAGTGTCTGGGAATGTCCAAACTGGGACAGAAAAGTCGGTCGCGAACTGAGCCAACTTCGCCTGGCATCACCAACCTCGACTCAGTCTACCTCCAGAATCTGGACCTCGTCAACCTGGTGTCCTATCCCAAAGTATGGCTCGATGATGCTCGATGTATGATGTATGGAATATAATGTAATACATCATGGACCCATTATAACGGACTCCAGGTCAACCACCCCGACTGATCGGGGCCGAACTGCGGAGCGTCTGGGAGTTGATGGGTCGGTGCCCTCGACGTGGGGCACCGCATCGCG